ATGTGGCAATTCAATTTGAAGACAATTTTAAAACAAGATACCCCATACAGACAGAAATGATTTCAATCATGTGCTATCAGTACATAATCAGGCTAATCAGTACTCATTGAAATCATGCAGGCCTGCAGACAAAGACAGGAAGCTGTGGAATGCAGAGACTGAGTCAATGCACTTTATTTACAGTAGCCAGGTTTCAGCTAATGAAAGACAATGCACTGGCTGACCAGCTCTGGCCTCGTATAATGAGAGACAATGCAGTCCCTGACCAAATAATGCCACTGTAATGAAAGACTGTGGCCTTATTGACTGTTACACAGTTCTGCTGTAATGACAGACCAGCCACTTCGTTGATTTTCTGAAAGATTACATAATACTGTATGCATTCTGGCTTGAATTGTGCACTGTGATGGCAAAATGTTGGAAAATAACAGCTATGGGCTGCTGAAAAGGACAGAATCAATTTTTCATTCAACACAAAAGGCAAACAAAATACCAAAATCTCATTCAAGCACATCTAAACACAATACACACTGGGCTTGTATTGCTGCATTGCACAGACTCAAATCCCAAATAAGCTCAGAGTGGCACTTAACAATAATGCAATCACATATTCTAGAGAAATGCATGGCAAATTGTTGTGCAGGTCCGTTATGATGCAACAATGGCTTGGATTGGCGTCAGAGTGCTGCAGCAAAAAAAGCAATCGCAAAACAACTCTCTTTAGCAGCATTTGATCGATAATGACAGATGAGTGACAAAGCGTCAGTCGGTGCGCTTTTGTTTGTGATGTAATCTGATTCCAAGGCTGATTTATGGCGAGTATCAAAGCCATTCGTGCTCAAGTTAATGAGGGCAATCATGGAGCTCAGCACTCCCGTGATTAAATGAGGGGAAGCAGGCCACGTCTCTATTGTTCATCTCTATCATTGACGTTTTTCACAGTTGGACATTTCATGGGTTTAGAGTAAGGCCTAGAACGTCCTGTTCTGTTTCTTTCAGCAACACTCACAACTAGGCAAATGCTTCGGTTCAGAAAAAACTCTTCAAAATAACTGTCCCTGTCAGTCAGCTTTTTTATACTAAGACCTCAAAATCCAAAATAACTCAGAATGTAACATGGGAACTCAAAGTAGCACAGTGATTGTTGAATGTTTTATCTTGACAATGTACAAATCGTCATGTCACTCTCTTGTTCAGTTGTCAGCAAACTGCATCTGTGAGAGTCTATAATTAAACAATCTTCCTAGAAATAACAAATGCAGTCAGGCAACAAATTTACTTTTATAGTCAACATGAAAAGGTCTTTGCACCACATTTTAATTATGGAATATGATGCATTTCTGAGTGATGATGACTTCTGGAAATTATAGCGTTTTAATGCCACTTTAAAAA